CCCAAACAACATTCAGATGAGTCCGTATTGGAGTTCAGAAAAACTGGAAATTGAATGATATTTGCCTAATGCATTCATCTCCACTCAATTTCACGATAAGTTGCATGGTCCACCCGTGGTGCTAGTCAGAACTGAAAGATAAGTAAAAATTCAAAGAAAATTTGAGAATTTGCAAGTGAGTAGATGGGCTGATATGTTGGTGAGTGCAGAATTAGTTCTTTTCTAGGATCATCTACATGTCGAACCTATACCAACGAGTAGACCATCTCTTTGCACCTTCTATTTCAAGTTGTAGCAAAGGAAAAGTTAGAATAATCGGATTTGAGCTCTGTTCATATTTTGTCTGTCACGAACTCGATAGAAGCATAATCGAAATTGAGTGATGGCGTCACTTGTTCTTTACGTAAATGTGACTCACCACAATGTTTGCTCAAACAATGGTGACCATTCCTCTTTGAAGGAGTGTGAGACGGCAGGACTCGGCTTTGTTTCTGATTTTTAACCCCAATCGATTTTGTAAACATTCTCTCGATAGTAGTATCGACTGAGTGCATGTTTTCCCTTGTTCTTTCGACTGACATTTGATCAATTATGGTATAGACACCAAACAGAAGCAGTAATTTTGACATCGCCAGTACGAACTCGTACAAATGCCAACAATACTGTCTTCTCTTTTTTCAGGTACATCAAAGTCACATCATGGTGCATCCAATTTCACATCCAGTGTCGCCATCGTGTTGGAACCCGCAGTGACAGCATCTATTTCATCATTACAAATTCAATCTCTTCCAAAACCAGGTATGCTACTTTGAATACGACATGAATTCTACGTTAACAATGATTTAATTGGTTCTATCGCTTGCCTTATACTCTATGATTGGTTATTGATGTCTGTCACGTATCAATCGGCACTGCAACGAACCAGTTCTCTCTCGTAGATAGAAAATATTGATCGATATATCTATTCCTTTTTGAATGATGATGCGATCGTTATGAACGACGTGTCGTCTCTCTATTGTTCTGTGATTCAGTCGATGTAGCTTCGAATATTTATCCAGTCTACCATTGTCTGACACTCTGTTTCTTGAGCAGAGTAGCAAGACATATTTTTCGGTAGGAAGGATTATTTTCAGATAGGTGATAGAACAGTGAGATTTTGAGCGATCTGGGGACTTTTCATCTAAGATACTCAGTAGATAATATAGTGTAAGAACAAAAATCGGCTGTATTGAACATTATTCATTTTAAGTGAAATAAATATTTGCATTGACAAAGATAAACCTGCTGCTTATGTATGAAATGAGTACTGGGAGAACTAGAGTCATTTCAACCTAGGCGACAAAGGTCATTTAAATTTGGCTAGCCGCCGTCGACAGTGTCAATGTTCTTGATTTCAGACTAATAAGTGTTAAAATGTGAATCTATGATATTAATTGAAAGATCAAAATATTTCTATAAGAAAAATTATATTCATGTCTTAACATTTCATGAGGATATTGTGTTGTTGGGTGTCCAACAAATGTTTTACAACACAAAATTTCAATATATCTGTTCTTCTTGCATCAATCAAGCTGATTTTTTTTTCTCCAATGACAAGAAAGGCTTCGAAATGACTTGTCATATGAAAACCATCTACGAATAGTTATTCAGAGTATCAATATTGTGCTCAATAATGATTTGTATCCTGTTCTGATTTCTGAAAAATGCTTTCAGAAAAATATGCATAAATGTTTTCGAGGCTATATTTTACATAGAAGTAGCCATCATAGGACCAAAATAATTTCGAAATAGTTCATATTCTTTCTGATTTATGTCAGTGATATCGAATTCTTATTGAATTTTCCAATTCAGATCTTCAAGTTCTTAATTCCGTTACGGTCAGAAATTTGACCTCCATCTTAAACAACATTAAATTCTCACTTAGATTAGCTTTTCTAAGAAGTCTCAACATTTTTTTTGGAATAATGTGTTCGAGATATGAATGTTTCACAATCTGCATATTTTACACAATATCCACAAGATACGCCAAATTTCGAAGAACTCAAGGTTTCTGTTTAAAATTCGAAACATCGATTTTACTGAAAATTATACGTGTAAAGAGGTAAAATCAATGAAAACTCAATATCTTTGGGAAAATTCTGAAAGAGTACGCATCACTTTTAAATTGTTATAATGTCATGATAACTTACCATTGAACTAATGTAGGCTTGAATATATCTAGGAATGCTTCCCTCAGAGCATTTCTCAGGAATCAGAGCAGGATACATATCATTCTTGAGTTCAATAATGATAGTCTGAAGAACTATTTGTAAACATTTTTCATAAGATAAGAAATTTTCGAAGTCTCCCTTGTTACTGAGAAGAAAATCAATCAATCCAGTCGATGAAGGTAGATTGAAGCTATTGAATCTTTATGTTGTAAGATATTCTTCTTACAACCAGTATCGACAGCTAGGAAGCTACGTTTTTGCGAAGATTATATGTTGTTTTTTTGGTTAAACCGTGAGCTCATAAAGTCTCTCATCGGAAATTATTCTTTTTTTTATGTCACTTTCAAAAAGCATGCTGAGTTTTGCCTTCAAATGCAAAAAGTTCCTATAATAGATATATCCATCCTTCTTTGACTCGTGCCATCTCTCATTGTCGTCATTCAAAACTCATTGTCAGTAGGCCCTGCATTTGTCATTCATACATACCGGCTGGGCCAAAAGTAAGGAAAAATAGTATTTTTTTCCATTTCTATCTTATAAATTGTCAGTTAGGTCTCATATTTATACCACTATACTAGATGATATAAGAAAAAGATAGAGCATGTGAACGATATTTAGATGTAGTTTAATTGATCCAAGAGCATACAAATACAAAATACCGGGTGGCCCAAAAGTAAAGACAAACAGTATTTTTTTTCGGTTTCTATCTTATAGATTGTCGGTTAAATCTCATATTTGTACCACATATACGAGGTGATATAAGTAAATGATGCAGCAAATGAACAATATTGAGCGTGCAAGTGGCTGTGGGTGATGGTGACGATAGATGTGGGCGTGTGTAAGAGTGAGGGTAAGGGTAGTTGTATTCTCTGAGTTCACACTGACACTCACCCATACTCTAAATATCGTTCGTATGCTGTATCTTTTACTTATATCACCTAGTATATGTGGTATAAATATGAGACTTAACCGACGATCTACAAGATAGAAACCGAAAAAAGTACTATTTTTTCTTACTTTTGGCCCACCCGGTACGTAAATAGAATGAGATAGTTGTTCTTGAAGTTGAACGAGCAAACATATGGCAGCTCTCTATTTACTTGGATCAATGTGGTGAAATGTTTACAGCGAAATTTTGAAATAGCTTACCTCGTTTTTCTTTTTCATAATTTCCTAACTATCCTTAATTGGTTATACATCCATCAATTTGGCGTCTTCATCATCTGGTTTAATTCTTTATTGAAAAACATTTATGAATGAAGAAATAGGATTGATTACAAATGTTACAAATCGAATATTATCTTTATTGAGCGATGATTCACACCAAATCGGTGAATGTATCAATTCTTGACAAATTTACGAGAAAACATTTGTACGGGTTATTTCAGATTGTATGAAAATAGAAATCTCTTTCTCACTCTCATCCTCAATTTTATATTCTCACATTCATTCCTCATTTTTATTTTGGATACTTATGCTTTCGAGCACAGTAGGAATTACTATCTCATAGGACAAGTAAAGTTATCATATACGTACCGACATGTTAAAGGAATGTATCGAATGAAGAAAATACAGGGATGCCAGTAGTGAGATACAAACAATGCATAAATGAAGATATCAGATTGATCACAGATGTTGTGAGTATTATTTTCTGAGTACACATACAATATTAAACACATCTACACTATTTATACGCATAGAGACAGCATAGAAAGCACTGTCGATGGAAGAAGAAACATGCCACTATTTAGTGTGAGAATCCGTTTAATATTGATGTCCAATATGGACGAAACGAGAGATTTATTCAGAGAATTTGCTTGTCAAGGTTAGAATTCATTGCTGAAGTAGACGATATAAAGCTATTAATTAGTATGAAAGATGTAGAACTGAAGAATATTCTTGACTATGAAAAGAGAAAAGCAAAAAAGGAAACGAAAACATTTGATATCAATAAATCAAAAGACATTTCTCATGATTCAAACTAAAAAACTCAATATCTATGAATAACTTCTCAATTTTTCTTGCACATTGAAGTTTAATATTCGAACCAATATCCGATGAATAATCGACTATCTTACGCGGATAGTCAGTGATTGATAAATTTTTCACCTAATTCGAGTAAAATTGTTGAAAATATCAAAAAGCATGATCATGAAAGACAACTTTTTTGATGATGAACAACATGTTTAACGCAAACATTTTTAACTAGTTTTGATCTCTTCATATATATACCTCTAACTGAGGTATTTCAAGTGTCCCACTCGTTTCTCTTCAGATGATTTGAACTGATGAGAGAGATGTCTGCAATCTTTTTTCCTAGATGCTTCAATTCATTAACGAACTATTAATTCTAGAAACAAATATACGTCTAAATGAACAGCAGGTATTCAAGAAAATACATTTTTCATAGAACGATTTTTGTTTTTTTTTTATTTTTATAAATTTTACTCTTTTCAGAACTTAAGAATTATATAAAAGATTTTTTGTTTATTTTTCATCAAAATGCTGAGTTAACTTTAAAATAGAGTGATATTAATTTTAAAAAAATACAAAATACAAAGTACAAAATAATAGTACTGAAAACATTTCCTCTCATATCTGTTGTTCACATAGAAATCCAAAGGAGAACAAAGTGATTTCTACGTTAGAAATCAGGAGAAATCACTATGACGCGTTAAGGATGGAATTAATAACTGGAAATGGTAACCAAGTCATTGAAAACAATTAGCAGCTATTAGAAAACATTAGAAATCAATGGAAATCATTTTATAGAAAATCTTCAACAATAGAATGAGAAGTAAAACCCTGATTTCTATTGATTTTTTATTATGAGAGCTTCCAGTCATTGACAAGTCATATTCGAGGAAGATGTTTCGTCACTATTATAAGGACAAAGCGTGGTGTTACTCGGGTCATATGAAACAGTACTCCGAAGAACCCCTAGATTGGCTTGAACAACACTATGTTTTGTCCTTACTAAACAGAAGAAAAATCCTGCTGAAATTTGATTGGTCGAATGCTTTTATCCACCAACCAATCAGAGTTCAGTAGGGTTTTTCTTCTGTATAGTGAGGACAAAACAGTGTTGTTCGAGCCAATCTAGGGATTCTTCAGGATACTCTTTCACATGACCCAAACAACACCAGTTTTGTCCTTATAATAATGAGAAAACAGCTTCCTCGAATCTGATCGGTCGATAAATAAAAGCTCTGGATCAATCAGATTTTAGCAAAGTTTTTCACCACTATAGTAAGAATAAGGCTTAATGTTGTTCGGATCAATATAGGGTTTTTTTTTGGGATGCTCTTTCATATGGGCTGAACAACCTTATGTTTTGCCCGTATAATAGCATCTAAAAGTATTGTTCAAATCAATCTAGTGTTACTCCTAGAAATCAATAGAAATCAATAGAAATCAAGGAAATCACTAGAAATCAGTAGAAATCAAAAAATCAAGAAAATCAAGATATCAGTTTTTTCCCTTGCATCAAGCCCACACCCATATGCACACTGCTCGCCTACACCCTCGCGACAGATTTTAGTAAAAAAATGCATCGAAGAGCACACTCATTGGCTCGTTTCTTGGTCATGGAAACACTAAATTAAACTCATAAGATATGCATTCAATAGAGCTCGTCGATATCTACTTGGGACCAGTGTTAGTTTTGTTGGAATCGGTTGTGGAGCGAATTGTGACAGGCTTTGCCAATGGTGTGCTTATTTCTGGTGGTTTTTAGTAGTGAATTGAATTTTTCTGTAGTATAGAAGGTTCTTTTCTAAAGGAGAGCAGTGGAATCCATAGATCTCATTGAGATCTATTTGGAACCAGTGAAAATTTTGTTGACATCAGCTCTAGAATGAAGTGTGTCGGGAAATACACGAATCCTGACCTAAGATATCTTCCTTATTTTAGAGTATTTTCAACAGAAAAAAATATTTCTTTGAACCATAAAAAATCTTCAAAACAGAAATTTGATTTTTGGTTCCAGTCATTTCGTAACAACGATAGAAAGCGCATTTCTTTTCCATTCTTTATTTCGGATGTGCCATTATTCGACGACCGATAACGAAAATTATTATTTCTCGGTTTTAACCATAGTCTAGAAAATTTTGTGGAACTCACATATATTTTCTTCAAAAATATATGTGAGTTCTGCATTTTAGCCCCAAAGGAACGGCGCCAACAAGCTTTTCTTTTTTATTTCATTTCAGTTGAACTTCTGCCTAACATATCAGTCAATGCCACATGGTCAGAACACGGTGTTACAGTTGCTGGAGGTCATGGTCAAGGTGATGGTCTCCATCAACTTTCTATTCCGATAGGTCTCTATGTAGATGAAGATCAAACTGTCTATATTGCCGATTCTTTGAATCATCGCATTATCGCATGGAAGCGTGGTGCAACTATTGGTCAAGTGGTAGCCGGCGGAAATGGACAAGGAAATGGTACTGATCAGCTGAATGAACCAACTGATGTAATTCTCGACAAACGGACAGATACTCTCATCATATGTGATTGGGGAAATCAACGAGTAATGCGATTCTCTCGTCAAAATGGCACAAAGGGCGAAACGATCGTGCCAATTGTCGCATGTAGCAGATTGACGATGGATAATGAAGGATTTCTCTACGTCTCTGACTATCATTTTAATGAAGTCAGACGATATCGAATGGGAGAGATTCATGGAATAGTAGTAGCAGGTGGCCATGGAGCAGGAGATAGCTTCAATCAACTCAATTGGCCAACACATGTCGTTGTTGATGCTGATCAATCTGTATATGTCTCGGAACTTAACAATCATCGTGTCAGCAAGTGGATAAAGAATGAACAGAAAGGTATAATCGTGGCTGGGGGTCGAGGTCCAGGAGATGATTTGACACGGCTATGCCTTCCGCGAGGAATAGTTGTCGATCAGTTGGGGCAAGTTTATGTGGCAGATTGTCAGAATAATCGAGTGATACGTTGGCGCAGCGGAGATATATACGGAGTTGTCATCGTTGGTGGAAAAGATACCAACCCACTCAATTTCCCTGTGAGTTTATCGTTCGATCGAGATGGAAATCTTTATGTGGTTGATCAGAACAATCATCGAGTTCAAAGATTTGATATCAAAGATATTTCATTTTAATCATTGTTAAAAGCCGATAATTTACCTCCATTTATTGGTTCTTTTCAGCGTAGACTAATGCATTCAGTAGGGTATGTGACTGTAGTAGTGTCCTGCGGGAACGATTTTTTCCCGTCCCGTTTCCAACGGGAATGCGGGAACGGGAATGATATTACAAATTGGCAATCCCGAAAAATTATTGTCTTATTTGTATATGCACTAAAAGGTTTTTATGTAACATTCTTTTATTTCCACTAACTAAATAAGGTGCAAGCAGTTCAAACTTCAGGAAAAAAATTTTTCGCGTTTTTCTTACATCATTTGATAGAGAGTGAACTGCTGATTACGAAAATCTACTTTTTAGCTTTAGCAAATGCTTTCTTCCGGTCGAAAAAAGACGAAATGCTCGAAAGATGCCGTCTTTCGAGAAAAACACATATTTTTGAAAATGTGCAAAATTTTCTACTTTGTTTTTTTTCCGCTCCTGACAATATTTTTTTCTGATTCAGCCTAAAAAAATGACTATAAAAAAGTGGTTAAATCGACTATAAACCCAAGACTCTATTAGTGGCGCCGCTTCTAATCGTGTCAAGTCCACTATGTATTCGTCGATTTTGTAACCCTACATAGTTTTTCTACATAAGCGATAAACCCCAATATTTTATCTCATTCGACTCCTTATACCACCAGCTACAAAAGTACGATCCCTTCGTTTTCTCTTTCCTTTACTGTGTAGAGAAAAATTGTGTTTACTACGATGATAGGACACGGGGGAAGGTGATTTGTAAATAAAATGCGTATTTTTTATTCAAATCAAGTAAAAATTTGTCTATATAGGTAAAATCTGATGGGGGATCGAATGAAAATATTTTTTGAATCTTCAGAGCGATCTCCAAAGGGTCTCTGGAAATCCATCCCTTGAGAAAACAGTTTTTTGATATCAATCGATATTTTATTATCTTTAATGGATTATTTGGCGACACTTCATGCTTGGCTATATAGTATGAACGGGTGTCGGGTGGTGTGGGGTGTGGGTCTGGGTGTGAGAGTGAGTGTGGGTGTGGGTGTCGAAGGTGTGGGTGTGGGTGTCGGTCTGAGTGTGTTGATGGAGGTGTAGATGAGAAAAACACCTACATCCACACCCACACCTCATCCGCGTCCAGGTGAATATTTCTGACGTATGAGTTCATCTTTTATCTGCCCTTGTTACTGGAGATCTATGTATTTCTCAAACAAGCGAAGACTCAACTCTTATCAAAAACAATAGCCGTTTTTGCGCATCAAAGGTGTGCGCATGTTGATAAGACTCTTGGCTTAGTTTTTCTGCGACAAAAGATAAAAAGGGTGTGAGTGTGGGTGTGGGTGTGTGGGTGTGGGTGTGTGGGTGTGATTGTGTGGGTGTGGGTGTGGGTGTGGGTGTGGGTGTGGGTGTGGGTGTGGGTGTGGGTGTGGGTGTGGGTGTGGGTGTGGGTGTGGGTGTGGGTGTGGGTGTGGATGTGGGTGTGGGTGTGGG